CTGGTGGCAGGGAGCTGCAGCTACAATCCCAGAGGCGCACGGTTTGAGTCCACCAGATGCTGTGCCAGGGAAGGAGGGACAATCTCCTCCTGTACCAGTCAGATCTGATTTGACGGTACACTCACACAAAAATAATAAAATAAATTAAAAAAATAAAAATTGAGGAATAAAATGTAAGCTAAGGTGAGGAAACCAAAACACTAACAAAATACAACATACCCAAACCCCTGGAATTGATGCTTTACCTGGGGGCTCTATCCTTCCTTCACAAAATGGTCCCATCTCTGAGGCATCATTTACAAAGAGTAAAGTGGGGGAAATGCCATTAAAATATTTAACTCAGGGCGAGCTCTGAAGCTACACTGCAATCCTGCAGGTGTGCGGTTCAAATCCACCAGATGCTGTGCTGAAGAAGAAGGAACAATCTCCTGTACCAGTGAGATCTGATTTGACGGTACACACACACAAATAATAATAAATAAAGAATAATAATAATAAATTTAACTCGGAGTAAACGGCCCTTCCAGGCTCCTTGGTGAACAGAAAAGTCCTATAAAGAATGAACGAGTGATTGATGCATTGATTGATTGATTGATTGATTGATGACGATGCTTTCTGCAAGTTACTTGATGGAGTTGGAAGTGTTTCTGTTGCCAAAGACTTGTTTGGAAAAAAAATCTGCATACTGGGTCTTCTCCTGGAGTTCGAGGGGGGCTGAGTGTTAAGGAGCTGCACCCCCATCCCGAAGGCAGGCGGTTCAAATCCCACCAGCTGCTCTGTGGGAAGAGGATGGGAAATCTTCCCCCATGCAATTCACAACCTCAGAAAACCCACCCGAGAGTCAGCTATGGGTTGGTTCACATCTGACTGAACAAGACTGATGTGTGTATTTGTGTGTTGGGGGGGGGTGTGTGGGTGTGGGTGTGTGTGGGTGTGTGTGTGCGCGCGCGCGCGCACATACATAATATTTACAAAACGCATTTACATCTATATTCTATATATGTCTCTTGTCTACAAAGAGGGATCTAAGTATTTATATGGTGGTGGTGGTGGTTATTGTACCATTGAGTCGCCTGTGACTCATAGCGACTCTATGCACAACAGCCCTAAACCCTGCTCTATTCTGAGCCAATCTCACTGTCTCTGACACAGCTTACCCCCGTTACCCCACTTACTGAATCAATCCTCTGCTCTGGATGATTTGGTCCATGGGACATAAGCACACAGATCCTGCCTGAGTCAGGCTGGGTGGGGTGGGGTGTCTTATTTCTCACCCCCAAATTCAGCCCCAGAGGACGAGAGTTTATGAATGCACTGGGAGGGGGGGCGTGGAGTAAAAACTGCATGGCAACTGCGTAGCTCGCAGCCTCAGCTGTTTGTGATTTATTTTTCTGCCTCCAAGGGGGAGAAGAAAAAAAAGCTGCTGTTGGAATTGATCTGTGAGGAAACAGCACCCTCTACTGACCTCACATTTTCCCTCTTGTGGAAAGAGATCAAATGCATTGCTGACCCTCCACCCTCCACCTTCCCAAGCATGATGCCCCTCTCCAAGGACCAGCTCCTCCTAACAACATGTCCAGAGGATGTGAGACAAAACTTCAGCATCCTTGCCTCCAAGGAACACTCCTTGAACACCACAGCTCAAAGACAGCCCTGCTTCATCTGTCCTCCTTAGTCACTGTCCAACTCTCAGACACACAGCAGGTGATCAGAAAGACGGTGGCCTGAATCAGGTGCACCTCAGTCCTCAAAGTTACATCATTGCTCCATGGTCACGGACCCCCCACAATCCGAGGCCCATTGCTTTTGTGCTTGTGGTTGTTGATGGCCATCCAGTTGGGCACGACTCATCGTGACTCCATGCACAAAACGCCTGAAGCTCTTTCTAGAAAGATTGCTGTTTCTCAAAGTGCATAGAGTTCCCAAGAGATGTGTCATGTAGGAAGTGGTTGCCACTTCTGCTTCCAATTGGCTCGTGAGACAGACATTTTTAGCTAAATATAAAGAATAAATATAAATATAAGTGTAAATGTAAATATAAAACAACATCATATAAATGATGTTGTTGTTGATGATGATGTGAGATATAAATGATGTTGTTGACATGTACCATGAAGTTGGAACCCACCAATTGCTGAACCTCTGGCCAGTTTCCAGAGATAGTAACATTCACGGAGGAGACTCCCTGTTTTATGGTTTTTGGTTCAGTTTTTGGTTCTATCTTCTTTTAATGGTTTCTGGCTAGGAAATCAAAATGTAAACTGCATAGAGGAATGTCTGCTGTTAGGGACCCTCTCCACAGTGTGAAAGAGCAAGGATGTCAGTCTAGAGACTAAGGTGCACCTGATCCAGGCCATGGTCTTTGCCATGACTTGCTAGGCATCAGAGAACTGGACACTGTCTAAGGAGGGTAGAAGAATCATGCCTTTGAGTTGTGGTGCTGGAGAAGACTATTGAACACAGACCGCCAGAAGAAAAAAACAGATCTGTCTTGGAGAGGGTGAAACCAAGTTTCTCCTTGGAGGCAAGGATTTTGAAGCTCTGTCGGACATACTTTGGGCACATTACCAGGAAGGGCCGGAAGTGTAGATGGGCAGCACAGGAGAGGAAGACCCCAAATGAGATGGATTGACACAGTATCTGGGGCAATGGGATTTGGTGTGTTGGAGTCAATGAGACCAGCTCAGGGCAGGGTATGGTTCAGAGCTGTTGTACCTCGAATGAGTAAAGACTGGACAGATAATGAACCCTGTATTAGAACAGATGATGCAAATAACTATCAAAAAAAGAATATATGATGAGGCATTATATGTCTGAGAGCAATCTGGAACAGGAAGTGCATTGCCAGGTGTTAATGTGGGGGAGAAAAATTTTAAATTATGACTACATAAAAGGAGGGGGGGAAAATATGTGTGACGCAGTGAGAGTTGTGGGCTTGACATTCAGCATATCATCCGTGAAGGCCACACAAAGTCATTGCAAAGACAGAGGAGAAGGAAAACACCCAAATGCAGATCAGGACAGACTCTGACCTCTGACGTTTGTACTAGGCCATTGCACCTCCGTTGCGCGCGCGCGCGCACACACACACACACACACACACACACACACGAAGAAAAGATCTAGGAAGGAGGGGGGGTGAAACCCTGGCTTAGATATGATATATGCTTTGGCAAAGTTGAGGAGGAAAGGTGAAATCACAAGCTTACATGCTGTAAAGAATAAAGACAGTAAAAAAGTAGGTAAAGGGGTTTGTGGGGGGGTACTGGAAATGGGACAGATCCAGTGGGGGGTCATGCTGGCAACAGTTTAAACGGGATTCATGTTCTAAAACATCCTGAGCGGGCACACCTCCAAAAAAAAAATAAATAAAACCACCTCAAAAGAACCATCATGAAAAAAAAGAAAATAAAACAAAAGAACCGTCATGAAAGACAATGATTCTTTTTAAAACAAAAATAAAGTTTTCAGTACCATCTAGAGCCCAAGGTGGGGGGGAACGGCCTGAAAGACCCCCCCAAGTGTTTTTCAAATGATCCAACACGCCCATTGGGGAGGGGGCAAGAGCGGGATTCGAACCCGAGACCTTGCTCCCCCACCCCTCAAAATGAGTGTTGTTCTCTCCTCCCAGACGCCTTTGCGTGAGCCTCTGCCCTGAGATGGCCCTTGGCACAGTCCAGCTTTCCCTTTGTCCTTGGGCACAGACGTCAAAGACCAATGGTGGCCCCCCCCAAGACCCTGCAGGGTCACCATGGGGCTGGACAGGAGTGGGATCCAGAAAGGGAACCTCTTCTTCCCTGGACACACCTGTGTATCCACTTGGTGACCTTTTGAGGGGAGAGGAGGGGTCGCAGGACACTGCCATGTTTGCATTCTGTGCACTGAAAGGTCATTCTGCTCCTGGAAACAGGTGCATAGACCTCGCCTGTTACCCCCACCGTAACCTCACGCACCCTAGGTAAATCCCTGAGTGCCCCCACTAACTTGCAGCATCTCAGTGACTCTGCAGAAACTGCACGAGGCCGGCGTGGTCATTTGCACGGACGGTCAGTAGATGGCACTTATGGCCTCAGTTTTCCCTGATTTGCATTTTCAGATGCACGTGCACAAGTGGTGTGTTTGTGGGGTTTGGTTGGATTTTTGAAAACTTGTGCTCAGAAATGCCACGTGCACCTGTGGGCGGTAGAGGGGTGGGTCTCACTGGCCGCAGATGTACGTGACAGCTAGCTAGTGTCCAGGTTTGGGGGTTTCTAAGGCCTTCCTTCATCGGGGGTCCTCATACAACCAACAACTCGTAGTATCTTATTGCACACTATCTGCTTTGTCCCCTGCCTGGCTGCAGTTGTAGCTTCCCCTGTTTGTCCCTTCTAGGTCCTCCTGGACCTAAATGCCCATCTGTGTCCACTCTCCTTTTGCCCCTTCTAATTATGCAGGCTGCAAACTGCTGTGGTCAATTTGAATGGCCTAAAAAAAAATAATAAAGAAAATTAATCTACACTGTTCTCTATTCACTGTTGTGGGTGTTTGTCCCGAAAGAGCTGCAATGAGTAAGAGTTGCCAATGTCAGGAAAGCAGGAGGCGTTATTGCTGTGGACAAGTGCTTCCAGGGACGGCTCCAAAATACAGAGGAGCAATGATGTCCGTTTGAAGACTAAGGTCCACCTGATTCAGGCCGTGTGGTCTTTTCTGTCACTTGCTATGCATCTGCGAGCTGGAGAATGAATAAGGATGACAGAAGAATAGATGCATTTGAGCCGTGGTGCTGGAGAAGAGCCCTGAATATTCTGCGGACAGCCAAAAGTACAAACATCTATGGGTCTTGCGAAAAGTGTGACCAGAGGCCAAGTTGGTGAAGCTCTGGTTCACCTATTTTGGACATGCTGATAGGACAGGCTATTCCTTGAAAACGGACATCGTGGTTGGCAAGACGAAGGGTCAGTGAAAGAGGGGAAGACCCCAGGGAGACAGCTAGATAAGGTGACGGCAGCCAAGTGTCGGAGATGGTGAGGATGGCACAGGATAGAATAGCCTTCCGAGCTGTGGGTGACCGGGTGCGTACTGAGTCGTCCTCCACGGCCCCTAAAAGCCGCAGCCCCCGTCTGTTTCTGACCGGATCGGTTTTGCCGGAGCACCGAAGCGCCCTCTCAACAGGAAGCGGAAGTCGGCGCGGTCGGGGCGAGCCGGGCGGCCGCGCGATCGCCTTTGATGTGCGTCCTTGCGGCCTGGTCAGCGGGCGGCTGACCGCAGCTGCGTCCGCGCCGGGTCCGAGGGCCCCGGGGCCAGTGTGTGCGGGGCCTCGCGGCCGCCGCCGTCCTCCCGCCCGTGTCGGCGGACGTGCGAGCGCAGGTGAAGTCCTGGCGGGGTCGGCGCTGTGCAGCCCCGCTGTCCAGGCCCCCGGGGTCGGCGCTGTCCAGCGGCTGTGTCGGCCGGGCCTCCCCCGGGGCCTCGCCCGGGGCTCCAGCGGCCTATGCCGGAACCTCGTCCCCGAGCCCGTGCTCCTGGGTTCCTGTCGCGGGCGGGCGCGGGGACCCCAAGTTCACGGCCCTTCACATGCACACAACAGCGGGGTCACGGGGCGCGAGGTCAGGCCCCTGACCCCCGCCCTAAACACGGGGCACCCGCCTTATAGGGGACACGGGGCTCACAAGGGAGATCAGGCTTATAGGGGAGATGGGGGTTCTGCATTATACAGAAGATAACTTTATAGGGGAGACGGCACTTAAAGATGAAATGGGTTTATAGGGGGGATGAGTTTTTAGGACAGATCGGACTTAAAGGGAGGATGGATTTATAGGGGAGATGGGACTTAAAGATGGGATAGGTTTATAGGGGAGATGGGGATTATGAGGGATGGGTTTATAGGGGAGATGGGTTTATAGGGGGGTTGGGTTTATGGGGGGATGGGACTTAAAGGGGAAATGGGTTTATAGGGGAGATGGGACTTATAGGGAGGATGGATTTATAGGGGAGATGGGACTTAAAGATGAAATGGGTTTATAAGGGGGATGGGTTTATAGGGGAAATGGGTTTATAGGGGAGATGGGACTTAAAGGGGGGATGGGCTTATAGGGGGCATAGGGTTTATAGGGGAGATGGGACTTAAAAGGGAAATGGGTTTATAGGGGAGACTGGACTTAGAGGGGAAATGTGTTTATAGGGGAGATGAGTTTCTAGGGAAGATGGGACTTATAGTGGAAGTGGGTTTATAGGGGAGATGGAACTTATGGGGGGATGGGGATTATAGAGGAGATGGGTTTATAGGGGAGACAGGACTTAAAGGGAAAGTGAGTTTATAGGGGGGATGGGACTTAAAAGGGAAATGGGTTTATAGGGGAGGCTGGACTTAGAGGGGAAAAGTGTTTATAGGGTAGATGAGTTTCTAGGGAAGATGGGACTTATAGGGGAAGTGGGTTTATAGGGAGATGGGACTTATGGGGGGATGGGTTTATAGGGGAGATGGGGATTATAGAGGAGATGGGTTTATAGGGGAGGTGGGACTTAAAGGGGGGATGGGGTTTATAGAGGAGATGGGTTTATAGGGGAGATGGGACTTAAAGGGGAAGTGGGTTTATAGGGGAGACTGGACTTACAGGGGAAATGTGTTTATAGCAGAGATGAGTTTTTAGGGAAGATGGGACTTATAGGGGAAGTGGGTTTATAGGGGAGATGGGACTTACGGGGGGATGGGTTTATAGGGGAGATGGGACTTACGGGGGGATGGGTTTATAGGGGAGACGGGACTTATATGGGAAATGGGTTTATAGAGGAGATGGGTTTATAGGCAAGATGGGACTTATAGGGGAGATGGGACTTAAAAGGGAAATGGGTTTATAGGGGAGATTGGACTTAAAGGGGAAATGGGTTTATAGGGGAGATGAGTTTTTAGAGAAGATGGAACTTATAGGGGAAATGGGTTTATAGTGGAGATGAGTTTATAGGGGAAATGGGTTTATGGGGGAGAAGGGGTTTATACAGAAGATAGGTTTAAAGGGGAGATGGGACTTATAGAGAAGGGACTTATGGGGGAAGTGGGTTTATAGGGGGAATGGGACTTATGGGGGGATGGGTTTATAGGGGAGACGGGACTTAAAAGGGAAATGGGTTTATAGGGAAGATGGTGTTTATAGGGGAGACTGGACTTAGAGGGGACATGGGTTTATAGGGGAGATGGGTTTATAGGGAAGATGGGACTTATAGGGGAAGTGGGTTTATAGGGGAGATGGGACTTATAGGGGAAGTGGGTTTATAGGGGAGATGGGACTTAAAAGGGAATTGGATTTGTAGGGGAGATGGGGTTTATAGGGGAGACTGGACTTAGAGGGGAAATGTGTTTATGGGGAGATGAGTTTTTAGGGAAGATGGGACTTATAGAGGAGATGGGTTTATAGGCAAGATGGGACTTACAGGGGAAGTGGGCTTATAGGGGAGATGGGACTTAAAGGGGAAATGGGTTTATAGTGGAGATGAATTTTTAGGGGAGATGGGACTTATAGGGGAAATGGGTTTATGGGGAGATGGGGTTTATACAGAAGATAGGTTTAAAGGGGAGACAGGACTTATAGGGGAGACTGGACTTAAAGGGAAAGTGGATTTATAGGGGAGATGGGATTTATGGGGGGGTGGGACTTATAGGGGAAATGGGTTTATAGGGGAGATGTGGTTTATAAGGTTTTTACAGAAGATAGGTTTATAGAGGAGATAGGACTTACAGGGGAAGTGGGGTTTATACAGAAAATAGTTTATAGGGGAGAGACAGGAGTTATGGGGGAGATGGGTTTATAGGAGAGATGCTGTTTATAGAGGAGATGGAACTTAGAAAGGGGTTTCTAGGGAAATGGGGTTTGCAGGGGATGTGGAGATTATAGGGGAAATGGGGTTGGTAGGGGAGAGGGGTTATAAGGGAAATGGGTTTATCGAGGAAGTGGGGATTATTGGAGAAATGGGTTGATAGGGGAAGTGGGGCTTATTTGGGGAAATGGGTTTATAGGGGAAGTGGAGATTATAGAGGAAATGGCGTTTATAGGGGAGATGGACTTATAGGTTAAGTGGGGTCTATAGGGGAAATGAGGCTTATAGGGGAAGTGGGATTTATGGAGAAATAGGGTTTATAAAGGAAGTAGGGAATATAAGAAAAATGGGGTTTATAGGGGAAATGGGTATTAGAGGGGAAACAGGTTTATAGGGAAAATGGGGTTTTTAGAGGAAGTGGAGATTATAGGGGCAGTGAGGTTTATAGGGGGAATGAGTATATAGGGGAAATGGAGATTATAAGGGGAAATGGGGATTATAAGGGAAAATGAGGTTTATGGGAGAAGTGGGGATAATAGGTGAAATAGGGTTTATAGGAGACATGGGATTTATAGGGGAAATGATGGGGTAACAAGGTTTATATGGGAAATGGGCTTATAGGGGAGATAGGTTGATACAGGAGAAGGAATTGATAGGAGAGATGATTTATTGGGGAAATGGGTTTATAGGGGAAGTGGGGATTTTAGGGGAAGCGAGGTTAATAGTGGAAATGGGGCTAATAGGGGAACTGGGGATTATAGAGGAAATGAGGTTTATATGGGAAATGGCTTTATAAGGGAGATGGGGTTTAGAGGGGAAAAGGCTTATAGGGGAAGTGCATTTATGGGCAAATAGGGTTTATAGGGGCAGTGGGGTTTAAGGTACCTGGCCTGGTTCCTCCTCCAGCTCTGTGCGATGTGGACTTGTCCATCTGTCCTGGTTGCGGGCACGGAGAGGCAGCCCCAGGAGCTGCGGGAAGAAGGCAGGGGCGCCCTAGCCGGCGTTGGGTGGGAATGGCATGAGTGGGTGTGGGGCGGCCATACCCCGTCCATCTCGCTCACTCTGCAGCATCCCCTACCACCCTTTTTCCGTTCCAGACCTCACGTCGGCTGCCAGGAGAACTCATCCGGGGGACGTGGGGACCCAGGGCCACCGTCGCACACACCTCCCAACCCCTGAGGAAGTCGGCGGCCGTGAGTGGCGTGGACACCCAGCGGCGTGCGTCCACCTGCGGCCTCTGCCCGCGCTCGGCGTCTCGTGCCGTCCGTCTGCCTGTCGTGGACTCTTGAGGGTGAGTCCACGTTCCCCTTAGGCCTCCAGGAGGTGGAGCAAGGAGATGGTGAGTGTTGCGGTGACGGAGGTGCTGCGAGCCAGGCTGGGGGTGAGGTGTTGGGGGGAGAGCTGTGTGCTGGGGCTGTGGGGGTCTTCAGAGAACAGAAACCCAACTAGCTTTGGGAGCAGAGGTCAAGCCATCACTGCAGCCCGACACCTGGCCGCCCTGAGCCCCCTCTCTGCACGGCCTTCGTCCAGCCCCAGGGGCATTTTCAGTGACTGTAGTTGCCCTCTCACACTGCTCTGTAACCAGGTTAGGGCCCTGGTCACTAAGCACACGCCTTGCTGATGTTGCTTCTTGCCCTCATGTCACCACGAGTCCAGAGCTGGCTGACGGTAGAGTGAGTCCACCTGGACCCTGAGTAGGGACTTCTGGCCTTTCCCTGTGCCCACCCTCTGCCTCCTCTTGGCAGTATTTTTATCTGGAGGCTCTCAGCTGTGGGGGAAGCAGGGCACCCCCAATCTAGGCTGCCTGACAACGGTACAACAAGGTTCTATGTTTGTTAGAACCTTCATATTTATTTCTTCCCAAGCCAACCAGACAGCTCATTCAGTGCATGGGCGAGAAGACTCGGAGAGACTTCCTTTACGTTTCATAAGTCTGGAGGTTTGCACCCCACGGTGAAAGGCCCTCTCAGTTCCGAGTTCTATAAAAAGCATGCTCTTTCAGCTAATGAGGAAAGGAGAACTTCCCGAACAGAGGCGGGTCGTGCTGTAGGGATTTTGCGGAGGGGAAGACCCAGGTCTTAACAACTTAAGTCAGTAACCACCAGTACAGAGTCCCAGCTAGAGAATGTGTAGGCTGACAGAAATCCTGGGTTCCTTATGCCCTAAATATCCTAAGAACCACGTGTGAGGCGTTTGCCAGAATGCGATCCGGTTCACGGGCAGCTTTGACTTGTCTGCTTCCCGCGTTGGTAAAGACCATTCTCGTGGACACTGTCACTCCACGGTGAAAGGCCCTCTCGGTTCATGTTTGCAGACAACCTGACCCAGGGCCCGAGTTATAAAGAGCATTCTCTTATAAAAAGCAATGCAGACAAGTGTATTTGACTGTTTACTCACTTAAAATAAACTTCCGTCCTCTCGAGTCAGACTCCCAGCTGACCCTCCGGCAAGTGTTCCCAGGCTGACCGTCGCCTGAGAGGAGATTGTAGAAGGGACAGTGGGTGCATTGGAGCCACCTCCCTTGCTGGTAGCCCCTCATTTTTTTACCGGAGCTGCAGTTTTAAGACTGTAACAGTTGGATCTTAAATGATTAACTCAGTGCATTGATAGTTATGGTGGACCCTGGAGGGAGAACTCCCTGGGAGCTGACCCTCCACGGAGTTCTGAGAGGCCGTAAACGTCGCACAGGTAGAAGGTCCCATCTTTCTCCCATGGGGCAGCTTGCTGGTGACTTCAAACCGTGAGCCTTTGGGCTGCAGCACAGATCCCTCCCCCTAGGAGACCAGAGCCCTCTCAAGCCATCTGTAGATACATAGACAGGATGTAGTGTGGGGTGGAGGCTGTCAGGATGGACGGCTTGTCCATGGACGCTGGCTCAGCACGGTTCCCGCAGCACTGGGCCTGGGATTCATAGGTGGCCCCTCACTGGACAGGGCACTCAGCTCTGCGTTTCGATCGACCCTCTCTGTCTTGTCATTTGCGCACTCCGGTGGCCTCGTGGGAAGGCCCTGGTAGCCCACACCCGAAGGCAGGCGATGAGAATCCCCTGGCTGTAAGAGAAACGTAGGCCATCGCCCCTCATGCCGGTGACAGGCTCTGAAAGCCCGCTGGACGGTCAGCTAGGACTCGGTTCTTCCTTGATGTCTGTAGGATGCTCTGTGCACTCTGTGATGACCGTTACAGGTTTGGATGACATTACATCATCTTTTTCACTCTGACTGCTGTGCTCCCCAACACAGCTGACCCTTTGGGTGCCAAGACCTCTCTTCCTGCTCGTCGTTTGCAGAAGCCAGTGGATTGTGGTCACCTGGGTGGACCAGGGACTTCCCTGGAGATTCCCTTAAGTGGAAGCGTCTTCCAGTTCCCCAGTTGTGTCTGTGTCTCGGGAAATTGCGTGCGTCTCCCCCGGCTGACCGCGTTTATAATGTGCATTGCGCCCTGTACGTGTCAGCAGTCCCTGGTCCTTTACTGATGCCCATGGTGTCGGGCGTTGCAGGACTCCGTGGCCGCGGAGGACGTGGCTGTGGTCTTTAGCCGGGAAGAGTGGCCCTTGCTGGACCTCGCGCAACAGAACTTCTACAGAGATGTGATGATGGAGACCTTCAGAAACCTGGCTTCTGTCGGTAAGAACACAGGGTTTTCTCACAAGTGCTTTAATGGGTTGAGTTTGCCCCCACGTTTCAGCGGAGGACAGGGGACACGCTGTGGGGGGGGAACAGCAGCCAGACCCCTCCTCTCTGGAGCTCACACACCCTGGCTGCCCGCTCACCCTCAGCTTCTCTGCACGACAGCAGGGATTGCTTTCCTGTGACCGGGAGACCTTGGGCTCACTGGTGTCAGGACGTGCGAATCTCTGGGACACCCAACAGCTGGATGGCGTGGGATTCCGTACACAGCTTAACATTATGGGTACAAAACTGATGCGTTGATCACACAAGTGTAAACTCAGTGTCGGTTTTCAGAGACCCCCCACAAAAAAAGGAAAAAAACCCAACCCACTGTGGTTGAGTGTCCGGGACCTGTTCCCAGCTCTGGGCTGTCCTTCCTGTGGCCATCTCTCCAGGAACTCCCATGTTTTCTCCTTCCAGAAAAGCCAGGAAACGCCAGAGGACAGTGGCCATGGGACCCACTTAGGGTGACGGTGTCAGGAAAGCAGGAATTGTGTGAAGGACAGCCTCTGCTTGGAGGATAAAGTCTCTGGGTTTGAACACACGTGCTCAGTTCCCTAAGCTGACCTCTTGTCACTTGAGATTCTCTTCCCCACCTGTGGTGAGGGGCACTCTATCTCCCCTTCACTGTCCCCTCAATCCACGGGCTCCTGCCTTTTTCAGTGGTCGGCTCCTTGACACCATCCTTCTCAGGCCTCAGGGACACATTTCCTTGAAAATCAACTCTTGTCACTGTCGCCAAAGGGCTGACACTGGAAACATGAGGCAGCCTTTCTGGTTTGACACCAGCCTTTCCCTCACCCTCCTCAATGATTTCTCTTTCTCGTTTTCTGTTTTTCCTTGTGAACGTCCACCCGGCTTCCTGGCTCAGTGTGCGAGCCCCCTAACAGTGTTGACAAGCTGTCCATCGAGCATTTGACGGTCCAGTTTCTGAAGCATCCCACCTGGTCTTCCACCTTGGGGGACTTGCCTGAATCGCCCAGCCCTAAAGCTCAGTGTGAAAACCAGGAGGGGCATTCAAGGTGAGTGTCATACAAAAGGAACTCGGGGTCGGGAGGGTAGGGGGAAGGAAGGAGAAGAGACACAGAGAAAGAGAGAGGGAGGGAGAGAGATGGACAGAGAGAGAGACACACACAGAGACAGAGAGCAGAGAGAGGGGGAGAGACGGACAGAGAAAGGAGAGGGAGAGAGATGGACAGAGAGAGGAGAGAAATACACAGAGAAAGAGACAGAGGAGAGAGAGAGGGGAGAGAGACACAGAGAAAGAGAGATGGACAGAGAGAGAGAGAGGAGAGAAAGACACAGAGAAAGAGACAGAGAGAGAGAAGACAGACACACACTGAGAGAGAAACAGAAAAAGGGAGGAGAGAGAGGGAGAGATGGACAGAGAGAGAGGAGAGAGAGACAGAGAAAGAGACAGAAGGAGAGAGGGAGAGATGGACAGAGAAAGCGAGAGGAGATAGACACAGAAAGAGAGGAGGGGTGGAGAGAGAGACACAGAAAAAGAGAGGAGGGGTGGAGAGACACAGAAAGACAGAGGAGAGAGAGAGAGGAGAGAAAGACCTAGAGAAAGAGACACAGAGAGAGAAGACGGACACACACTGTGAGAAACAGAAAAAGGGAGGAGAGAGAGGGAGAGATGGACGGAGAGAGAGACACAGAAAGATACAGGAGAGAGAGAGGGAGAGACAGAGGAGAGAAATACACAGACAAAGAGACAGACAGAGAGAGGAGAGAGACACAGAGAGAGAGGGAGACACAGACAGAGAGAGAAAGGGGAGAGAGACACAGAGAAAGAGAGAGATGGACAGAGAGGAGAGAAAGAGACAGAGAGAGAAGACGGACACACACTGTGAGAAACAGAAAAAGGGAGCAGAGAGAGGGAGAGATGGACAGAGAGAGAGAGAGTGTGTGTATGTGTGTGTGTGTGTGAGTGAGACAGACACACACACACCCAGGCAGACAGTTCAGCTGATACCTAATGCTTTATCAATGCTTGATGTCAATCAGGCCAGTATTAGCCTTGCAAAGGACCCTGAACGAGTGCCTCAAAGTCAGAAGGATGCCTTCATAGTTGGCACTGGTCCCAAACACTGTCCGTGCATAAGGCCCTGAACTCTGGCTGTCAGTCCGTCACTCTTTCACTCTTCCACACCAGCATGTGCGATCCAGGTGGGGAGTTGGATTACTGGCTGGACTGAAAAGAGAGAAAACAAATTCCAGGCAAAAGGGCATAGCTGTTTGTGTCCAGTTGCTATTAGGTGCAGTCCAGTTGTTTTGATGCATAGAGACCCTTGGCACAGCAGATCCGAACCCTGTCTATCCATTGGCACAATGTCCACTATTGTGAAAGAAGCCCATTGTGTCAGACACCAACGACGTCTTTTGATTCTCATCAGAGGGGATCTCGTCATTTTCCACAGACCCTCCCCTCACCCTGCCCAGCCCAATGGTCTTCTTCAGGGTCTGGGTCACTGGGACGGTGTCCAGAGTCTGTGAGATGCAGCATTCACGTCCTCACTTTGCAAGGAACACTCTGATGGGTCTTCCGTGGGGACGGATTGCTCTGTTCTCTTGACCGTCTCCATAACCCGTCTTTTCTCCCATCACCACCGTTGACAAGCGTCCATCCCTGGGTCATCTCTGTCCGTCCAGCAAAAGAGTTGGCTGCAGTGCGGAGAGCACGCGGTCCTCTTTTGGGAAAATTGCCAAAATACTGCACACCAGGAGAAAGCCTTGTTACAAACGCCCTCAAACATACACATGGATGTTTGCCTTCTGCTCTGAATATAAGAAGCTTGAAACAGACTTTGCTTGGACACACTTAGCAGGTAGTAACGTATGTTACAAAGCGAATCAGAGTGGCATTTCTGCAGCGTGATTGAACTTCTTAAGACCAGATTCACGAAATACAGTTCACAAAGCCAGTGAGAGTGATTGAAACTGTAAGACCAGGTTCATGAAATCCATACTCCTAGTGTCTGTTAAGGGTGAAAGGCCAACACATGCATTTTTGACCTTCTGTTGTCCATTTTCCACAGAAATCCCAGCGTCCAGAAGCTGTGTGAGAGCTCTGAGGACGGTCAGGATGGAAAGGAGTTGAGCCCTGAGGCCCATCTGCCCCCACCACTCAGCAGTGCACTAGAAAGAAAGACGCTTGCGGGCTGTGCAAATAGAAACACCGTCCAGCACCCAGCATCATCCCGTCAGAGCAGCCCGCCGGGCACAGGTCAGTGTCAGGACCGTGGAGATGGTCCCCCTCGACGTTCTCCCGGCTCCACAGTCCCCGGGAGGCCAGGCCAGGCAGGCCCCAAGGACCCGGGGGCCTCTGTGTCTGCCGCCCAGGCTCCTGCAGCCGCGCTCACTGGTGAGCGGCGTGTGTCCACGTCAAAGCCGTCCGTGAGGAGGTCCGGGCCTGCCGGCAAGCGATGTGGACAGCCAGCTGTGGCCCCGTCCTTCATCCTGCTGCAGACACAGCCCGCGGCGGCCCCCGGTGAGGACGGGGCGGCGTCCAGCGTGGCAGCGGCGGCCGGCCTGTGTGGAGGACGCGGCCGCTCCCCCGCCGCCGTGAGCGTGGCCCGGCTGTACGAGTGTCCGCAGTGCAGGAAGGTGTTCAGCTTCCCGTCGTCGCTGGCCACGCACCTGCGCAGCCACAACGGCGAGAAGCCGTACGTGTGCGAGGAGTGCGGCAAGGCCTTCACCTACTCGGGCTCGTTCACCACGCACGTGCGCATCCACAGCGGCGAGAAGCCCTACCGCTGCGAGCTGTGCGGCAAGGCCTTCAGCTGCTCCACCTACCTGAGCACGCACCGGCGCGTGCACAGCGGAGAGCGGCCCTACCCGTGCCAGGTGTGCGGCAAGGCCTTCAGCCAGTCCTCGCACCTCAGCACGCACATGAAGACGCACAGCGGCCAGCGGCCCTACCAGTGCGCCCTGTGCGGCCAGGCCTTCGCCCACGCCTCGTCGCTCACGCAGCACGTGCGCACCCACAACGGCGAGAGGCCCTACGAGTGCCCGCCCTGCGGCAAGATGTTCAGCTGCGCCTCCCACCTGGCCCAGCACCAGCGCACGCACGGCGGCCCGCGCCTCTACGCCTGCCGCGACTGCGAGAAGGTCTTCCGCTACTCGTCCTCCCTGGAGAAGCACAAGCGCACGCACAGCGGCGAGAAGCCCTACCGCTGCCCCGAGTGCGGCAAGGCCTTCAGCTGCTCCTCCAACCTCAAGCTGCACCTGCGCACGCACAGCGGCGAGACGCCCTTCCGCTGCCCGCAGTGCGGCAAGGTGTTCCGCCAGGCCTCCAACCTCACCACGCACCTGCGCGTCCACAGCGGGGAGAAGCCCTACGAGTGCCAGCACTGCGGCAAGACCTTCAGCCAGTCGGCGCACCTCACCATCCACTCCAAGATCCACAGCGACGAGCGGCCCTACGCCTGCAAGGACTGCGGCAAGGCCTTCCGCTGCTCCTGGTCCCTCACCACCCACGCGCGCACCCACAGCGGAGAGAGGCCCTACCACTGCAAGGACTGCGGCAAGGCCTTCCGCTGCTCCTCCCATCTCACCATCCACAAGAGGATCCACAGCGGAGAGAAGCCCTACGAGTGCAAGAGGTGCGGCAAGGTCTTCCGCTGCTCCTCCCACCTCACCACGCACAGGCGGACCCACCGCGCCGAGGCCCTGCTCGCCGCCGCCGGCGACGAAACCGCCGACACGGGGGTCCCCGGCACCTCCTCCGGGGCCGAATGCACGGGCCACCAAGGGCCAGGGCCTGCAGCTGGCTCCCCTCGCGCGGAAGAACCCGCTGCCCGCAGGGCCCTCCAGAGGGTCACACACGAGGCGACACTGGCAGGAGGGCCACAACCCTCACCCCTGAGAGCCCTGGACAGCATCGGCCAGGAGGGGACACTGGCAGGCAGGCCCCACACCTCAGCATCTATGTAGACCCTCACCGGACACCCCTGGGGAGTTGAAGGGCGAGGGAGCTCAGCTTAGTTAGACCACGTGCCTGACACCCCAGAACGCGGTGGGGGTGAGGCCCTGGGACGGTGAGGGCAGTGGGAGGGCCGGCGCTGCTGCCCCAGGCGTGAGAATTCACAGTGGACACCAGCCTGACCCAGGTAAGACCCTGAGAGAAAGCCTGCAGCTGCCTTGACCCGCATCAACGCTCGGCTGAGCAATGGTGAGTATCAGGAAGGCGGGGAGGCCTTTCAGGCACCCACCTCTCTTCCCCGCCTCGTGCACACACACCGCAGGGTCAGGAAGCAGATTGCTATGCTCTTACCACGATTTCTAATCCCTAACTGCTCAAATAACCACACAGGACAGGTCCAGAAGTGGGCACTCAGTCGAGGTTTTCGTTGAAGAAGAAAGCACTTGTAAGTCAGAGACGATATCTGTGAGAGAGGTGGGCCTCTGAGGCCCTGGCCATGTCCGTCTCATAGAGCTGTGCTCAGCGAGGGTCTCCAGTCCAGGTTCACTTTGCATTTTCTTCCAGTACCTGCCTCTTCCACAGTGAACCTCGAGGAGACGTTTCTCTTTTCCTTTCCTGTGCATTGAGGCTCTTGTGCGTACAATTACATACACTCCTATGTAACACTTATTTCAATACCTGCTGGGTTTCCTTCGCTTCTCATCATAACCTGAACTGTATTTTTTACACTTTATAATCCCTAAGTTCTCAGACAGCAATACTCTGACACAGGAAACCGTATTTATCATTCCACGTTGGCCTTTATTTTTCTTTTAACCTAGTACTTTTAGTATCCATTGATATCCATTTCCATTGATATTAATTACTGTGGTGTTTAGCATATGAAATAATTCTGTTTAGCATTTCCTCTCTGTGTGTTTATTAGAATTCTAAGAAGAGAACAAAAATAAAGTTTTGCTTTTTCTCCTCTTTGTGACCCATGACGGTGTAGGCAGTCCCCAAATTACAGACTAGTTCTACTCCTGTACAGTCCAGTAATTAAATTTAACAGGTAAATGCAGCCTCTATTTGATCTAATCACTGATCTAATATTTTTCTCAGTACACAGTACATTTAAAGAAAAAACACCTTTCAGGAATCACTTTCTACATTAAAAACGAATCCTGTCCACTTTAAACTGCATCATTGCCACTGCTGTCCGTCACGGGAATGTGTGGACATTCACTCTCCTCCTGTCCTCCCAGTTTCCAGGCTCTGAAAACCCCTGTGAAGGGTCCCCGATGAATCCATGGTGATTGATGGCATCACGGGAATTGGAGATGTGGTGGTGAAACCTTGATTTGTCCAACACCCAGTGAAATAGGCCGTGTGCCTGTCTGAATGTCTGTGTCCTTGGTGTCTTGACCAGAGTTCATGTCCATTTCCGAGGAGCTCCTTGGTGGCGCGTGGTCCAGGCCTCTCATGTGTGTGTGTTTGGGAGCTCTGTGGCATATCCATAACCCCTCCCCAGCTCTGCAGTCCACTAGCCCGGAGGACTCTCATGCTGTCCTTCTGCAATACCCAGCTTTCATGTGCACGGCAAGGGATCGAAAGGGCCATTGCCAGAGTCCACAGTCCTCAGTCCTTTGTCCAGGTCCCCGACAGCACATTTTCCTAACACAGCTTCTCCTCTCCTGACTGCTAGTACCAACATTGAGTGGTTTTCTCAAACCAACTTTTTATTGCTGGTTGGAAGGTGTGTCCATATTCAGGGCGATAGGTATAAGAAAAGGCTTCCCCCCCCCTCTTAGTTATGAAGTCAAATTTCTGTTTCCTTCAGCTTCTGTCTATAGTCTGGCATCCCTTGGATGTCTGTGGTGTGCTGCTTCCTCAGGCAGGAATGTGGGTCCTAATAGATAAGCTCCTCACCTGGGCTTTCTTTGGGGAAACTGAGGCAACCCTACCCTTCAATTCCCTTTTCTCCTGTGAAATAACAAGTAAATACTGTGAGGAAACTCCCCTTTCATGGATCAGGGCTCTTAGGGGATTAAAAGGTGCATTCTGCTGGATCATTTTTGCAGGTATTTAGTCTCTTTAAGATGCAGCTTTCCCAAGCTTTGCTGTTGAATCAGTTGCTGGGTGTCAGGAAGCTGACCAGTAACGGAGGATGAGAGCAGATGATGGGGTGCCATTACGTTACTGTTGTAGTGTTGGAGAACAATATCAAACATCCCATGCACTGCAAAACCATCATTCATTGGAAAAGGTCCAACCAAGGTTTCTTTCGGGTACTGTGGGGCAGATGGGGAGGAGGGACCCAGCCTGGGGTCAGCATCAGAGAGGAAGGTCTCCCACCCTCAGATGGATTGACACAGTGATTTGATTTATTGAACCCAGTTGGCAATGTGTGAAAGATTCAGTTCTGGTCAAAAGGTGCACCAAATTTGCTAGAAAAGATTTTGTAAAGATTGCCATGGCAACAGCAATGTGATTCACTGGTTTCTTTGTGAAATAGATCCATTTCCTCAATAATATCATTGGTGGTAGCTAGGAACACCTTTTTCAAAGAATGGTGGGTGTTTTCCATCAAAGAGACTCGATAAGAATTTGAGAAACTCATGGAGTAAAAATTTGCCACACTTTGTTGTTTACGTGTGAGATTATTTCTAAATTACTGTTTTTAAAAAAAACCCAACAACAATGGGCCCAGGTATATCAGAGATGTTGAGGGCAGGGTTCAGATCTGGTGATCATGAGATCAAAATGAATCTGGCAACAAAAATTAAATACCAAGTACATCATTGCATACATGTCTTTGGAGACACAATCCATGTTACAATGTTACCCAGAAAAACCAAACCCATAATTCGAGACCAAGTTCATTCTGTGAATACAAAGTATCACTAGGGTAAAACCAGGAACGATGACATTGTCAGGCCCAAGTATCAATTCAGCTTTAATGTTGTTAGATACCTTTGTTTCAAAAGCTCTTAGGCACGTGTTGGAAAAATCAGTGCAGCATCTTCATTGGTCGTGACAGAGTTTAGTTTATTACCCGTTCATCTAATTCATTGCTGTCCATAGGACTGAATTGAATTGCCCATGCACGCTTTTCGGAAGCAAAACGTCTTCTATAAGACTAGCTGGTCCATTCAAAATCCCTATTGATCCAAGCAGCTGAGTGCCCAACTCTTGTGCCAACAACTGTTCCTTTTTTATTGTTGAAAAGAATAGAACATACTGTAATGAATGATGATCTCAAACATGAATGACATGGTTTGGGATGATCTAAAACCCACTTGTTTAAAAAATACGTGCAATTGACGATAGATACCCAGAGCTCAGATTAAATTCCACTGAAACGACACTTTTTGGAGAGTTGTGGACATTACAGACTGGAGATATTTCAGTGCAAAATAGAAACGTCCCAGCCTGGCATGGGTTCAATTCTCTGGCTCATTGGGACCCGTTATAGTACAGCCGCAGCATGTTTCTACCCGGAAAGTTTATGGCGACGCACACATACGCTTCCGCGCACTCACTCCCCCCACACACACAGGAAGCGGAAGTGTGCGCGGTGTTGCGATGTGCACGCGTCCGGGCGGCTGCATCCCGCCTTGTCCTGCGTCTGCGCGGGCCGTTCCGCTGCCTCCGGACAGTTCGCAGGTATGGTGCCTGCGGGACCCTGACCCTCCGCCCTTGCAAGCTTCATCCGCTTCTTCTCCCGTCCTTCCTGCACGCCTCGAGTGTGGCCTTCCGAGGACGTTTCCCGGCATCTGGGTTCCGCCTGCGTGTTCCCTCCTGGCCTTCCGTGAGGGTTTCTGCTACGTCCACTTGTCCAGCATCCCCACGTCAGAGCTAAGGCCGCATCTGGGTCACTCCTTCAATACTCATCTCCATCCTCATCACTAGCATGACCCTTTGACCCACCATACGTGTGTCTCTGTCCATTTTGACAGCATCTGCGTTCAAACCTCCCTTGACGCTTGTGCGCCCATTTTACAGATTCTCTGGTGGTGTGTGGTGGAGTGGAAAGCGGTCTTGCTCCATCCTGGATACACACACTCGTGCTGGGGGCTCTTCTGCAAGTGGGCAACGACTTGCAGCTGACCCTCGAGGGGGTTTTCAGAGGCTGGCCACAGCACCGCATTCACCGTCTTGCTCTTTTTTTAAAAAAAACCCTGAAGAGCAACGATGTCACTGTAGAGACTAAGGTGCTCCTGATCCAGGCCATGATCTTTGCAATGACATGACGTTGCAGTTACATAAGAAAGCTGGACAGTGATTAGGGATGATAGACGAGTTGCATTGAGGTCTGGTGTCAAGGACTTCTCCAAAGTACAGAAGAGCAACGATGTCAGTCTGGAGACTAAGGTGCACCTGATCCTGACCATAGTCTTTGCAATTACTTGCTGTGTATCAGAGAGCTGGACAATGACTAAGGATGATAGAAGGAGAATTGGTGCCTTTGCTGGAAAAGAGTATTGAATATACCATGGACCGCTAGGAGAACAAACATGTTCATCCTGGAGAGAGTGAAGCCAGGCTGCTCCTTGTAGGCAAGGATTCTGAAGCTTCTTTTTAAATACTTTGGACATGTTGCAAGGAGGGACCCGCCCTTGGAGAGGGACATCATGCTAGGGAGGGTGGAGGGACAGCAAAGGAGAGGAAGACCCTCTATGAGGTGGATTGATTCAGTGACTGGGGTAATCGGCATGGGTGTGTCAGAGGCTATGGGATTGGCACAGGATAGAGCAGGGTTCAGAACTGTTGGAGCTGTTGTCCATAGGATCTCTATGGGACACAGACCACTTGACAGCACATAACAATAACTACCTTTGTGTTGGCTGTACAATTCTTTACAGCACAACCATTGAATTTTCAAAAACAGTTAAATCTGTGAAAGCTGGAAGCAGTGTCAGGCAGAAGTCCCTGATGTAGATTTTTTTTAAAAAATTTTGTGTGTGTACTGTCATGTCGCTTCTGACAGGTACAGGAGGCGATTGTCGCTCCTTGTCCAGCAGAGCATCTG